CCCAAAACTGAGAGTGGCTAGTTCTACTTGCAAAGGATCTGGCATCCAGGAGGGTTTCTAACATGTCTTTTCCTTTTTCTTTAAATGAAATGCCTATCCCTCTCCTTACTCCTGGAGGTCATTGCCCCATCTGTTGGCATTCTTTTCTGTTTCCTCCTGGTGCCCTGCCTCTGTTTGTTCATATTTTTGTGTCGCAATAACACAGGGCTTTGAGCCCTGAGCTGTCCTCCATGTATTTACCTGAATTCTCCCAGTTGTAGAGAGGCCTTCCAGTCTCTGTTGAATGCTCTGTGTCATACTTACTTTGTATATAGGTCTTCCAAGGGAGTGAATAAAGAAAAGCTTGCTGGCATGCTGTGATACTGCCTCGGTGTTAAAATTATTGCATTTGAAAACAGACTGCCTGGGTTTGAGTGCCAACTCCTTACTTCCCAATTGCGTGACTTCTGGCAAGCTGTTTACGCTCCTTTTGTTTCAATTTTCTTGTCTGCAAAATGGTGGTAATTCCAGTACCTGCCTCCTAGAGGATAGTGCGTATGCATGGAGGCAATAAGCACTCAGTAAATTTTAGTTGTTCTTTATTTTGGTTTTGACTTTTTCAGATTTGTGGTCTTAAATAGCTTTCCAGTTACTAGATTTGCTTTGATGGTAGAGTTTAGATCTGAAGGATCCAAAATATTCTCTCCCTGCAAATAGGTCACAGTAGCAGCAGGAGGACACTAGCAATAAGACCAAGGTCAGGGTGCTAGGATGGGAAAGGGACAGACAGCTACAGTTAAGGAAGCAAATGGCAGCAATAAGAGAATGTCTTTTGGCTTATAACCTAGCCTCTGGAAGTTCTGAGCAATCCAAAGATAGAGTCGGACAGTTAAATTGATGGTACCACATTTTCACCGAGCACTGTAAGGCAGCAGATGAACTAAAATGTCCCTCACAATTTGCATTTTTATATACAGTCTTAAAAAATATTAAGACCTTACATGAGAACTCTATGCTACACTCAAAAAAGTTTAACAGGACCAACCCAAAAGCTCATCAATGATAGACTGGATAAAGAAAATGTGGCACATATACAGCATGGAATACTATGCAGCCACAAAAAAAGGATGAGTTCATGTCCTTTACAGGGACATGGTTGAAGCTGGAAACCATCATTCTCAGCAAACTGACAAAAGAACAGAAAACCAAACACCACATGTTCTCACTCATAAGTGGGTGTTGAGCAATGAGAACACATGGACACAGGGAGGGGAACATCACACACCAGGGCCTGTTGGGGAGTGGGGGATAGGGGAGGGATAGCAGTGACTGGGGGGATTAGGGAGGGATAACATTAGGAGAAATACCTTATGTAGATGATGGGGGGGAGTAGATGCAGCAAACCACCATGGCATGTGTATACCTATGTAACAATCCTGCATGATCTACACATGTACCCCAGAACTTATAATAATAGTAAAAATAAATAAATAAAGCAAAAAAAAAGGTTAACGGGACCAATGAAAGGTTTTTCAGTAATGAATGTAACCTCAATGAAATTTCACTGTGCCATTTTATTAGAGTCAGTCATGATTCTGAAAGATAAAATCATTACCTATTTCTAACCACTGACTATAATTTAAAATTTGAAGGATGTCATTAGAAATATATTTATCTTCTTTTTTATTAAGGACTTTCTGCATGCTCAGCAAAAAAAATGTATAAAGAGCAATTTTTACTTTACCATTCAGTTGATCAACTACTCTCTTTCCATGTGAGAATGTAGGAAGGAAAGAGATGAGCCATCATGTCATTCAGAGAGGAGAAGTATAGGAGGAGTTTCAAGAGCCAGGGCTCCAAATCAGACTGCTTAGATTTATTGTCTGTGTTCATACGGGAAGATCAGGAAAGTGAGGTCAGCTGCTATATCAGATACATCCCCAAATCTCACAATATAAGTCTATTTGTCATTCATGCTGTTAGATTGACCATGATTGGTGGCACAGCTGAACCTGGGCTGCTTCTTCCTTTCATTCAGCTGGAGGTAGGGTAGGCTGGATTTAGGTTGAGACATTGGGGCGTTGCCTCTCCACATGGTCTTTTCAACATAGTGGCTACACCTATGACATGGTGGCTCAAGGGTCCTATGAATGCAAAAGCAGAAGCTTCCATGCTTTCTTATGTCTCAGGCCCAGAATGGGCTTGGCATCCCCTTCTGCCACATTCAATTGGTTAACTAAATCATAGAGCCAGGCAGGCTTGAAGGGCAGGGGACTACACTAGGCAAAGAATGCTGAAAAGTATGGTCTATTCCTGGGACCACCACACATGGCTATGCGGGCTGCCTGGATGCTGTCTCCAGGTTTTTATGGACCAGGGCTAGATGTGAAGCTTGTCACTTCCTCTGGCATTCCATTAGCTAGTCCCCAGTCATATGACCACTATTAACTGCAAGGGAGGCTGGTAAATGTAGACTAGCTGAATGCCCATGAAAAGAGGGCTCTGGCCCTCATGAGCAGTCTTTTCCTCACTGTGTGCCATCCATTTCTGTGCCTCCATCACTTCCTCTATAAAATGAAATTGTTGGAGGCAGTGAATACATGGCACACATAAAGTGCTTAGCACCTAATATATGCTCAGTAAACCTCTGTTATTATTCACTATTATTTAGTGGCTACTTGATTTTATTCCATCTAAGTCAACACACATGGCACTAGATACCAGGCTAAGAAATTTGGACTTGGTCCTGGAGCTAAAAATTAAATATCAAAGGGTCTCAGGCAAAGGAGTGCTATAATCAGAAATGTGTTCACTCCAAAATTTGACAGAGTGATTTTATATGTTTGTCTTAAATGTGCAAGATATCATCAATGATGTAAACAGAAATAATCCAGATAAGAGCTAAGAAGAAGTTGGAATTAATGCTTAATGGCATAGATTCTCAGGCTATAAATTGTTTCTTGGTGTGCTTAGCTATGGGAGGGTTAAATGGGAAAAAAATGACTATTGTGTTTTCAGCATTTTTTGTGATTAGCAAAACTCTTCCACAGATTGAACCTTTTAATTGCTTCCTGATATTTATATCCAAGGCTGTTTCGGTGACTCTTTGGTCTCTTATTAGTTTTACTTAAAGAGTTGTTATTTAAATCTTAAAAAAGGATTCTTTATCATTACCTTTTGTTTTTCTGGTTTGGATGCATTTTCCAAACAATACCAAATATACACACCTTCTCCATTATTTCTGCATTTCTTCTCAAGTCCTGCCTTGCTTCCACTCTTAAAAGAGACTACAAATTTCATAAGACATTATCTCTTGAGATTATTCACTTAAATAGTCACCTTTTTATGAAACATTTGTTGACCTGAAAGTGTATGCCTCCATCAAATAATTGATTTAACAGACCACTCTAGTCTTAGGTCATCATTCTTATTTCATGACTGTCTCTGCCTCATTGGACATTTATAATATAGCTCCCACTAGTGCTGACTCTGACCTGTGGCTTTGTCTTCCAGTTAATTTGTAATATCATAGTGGTTGAGATCACAGCTGCATTACTTATGAGCTGTGAGTTTTTGGGCAAGTTACTCCTCTGAGCTTCTGTTTCCTCATCTGTAACATGAGGATAATAATGTAACCTACTACGAAAAATTCTTTTGATGGTTAGATAAGTCAGCACTTATAAAATGTCTTAAACAATGCCTGACACTTAGTAAATGCTCAGTCAGAACTACATGTTGCTGTCATCTATTCATAAACTAAAGGATCATTTGCCTAATAAAAAATGAATAGCATATTTATCAATTTCATGTGAAATAATAGATCAAGATATTAGATATATTGACATTAAGATATCAAATCTCTTTAAATGAGAATGTAACTTCCATTATTGAGTATCAAATATGAGCCCTATTGACTGTCTACTGGAATTACGTGTATTTGCAACATCAGAGTTTTGGGGGTAGTGTTGGTGGAGGTATGTGCAGTAACATGTGGACTTTACTCTGAATCTCTGTTTAAGTTTAATCATTCTAGTAAAGAAAACCACCTGGAATATTTTACTACTTTAAAATTCCTTCCTTAGCAGCAGCAGCAGCAGCAGAGGCTATGTGTGGCTTACATGATTAACCTCACAGAACCCTAGTAAAACCATACCGAGTCCTTAATTTCGAATCAGTAAGATCTTCCATGAAATCATTTCCTGGTTTGTCAATTATAATCACAGTGATTCTTTTGTTGGAATTCACTTGAGACCCATGGGAGAGCTATAACTTCCTATCAACTGGGAAACAAAGATGTCTTTTCAAATTGGATTCGGTTCAGTGCCATGTGGAATACATGGAGATCAAGGTAATTCACGATTGGAATTCATCTTCCCTTTTCCCTCCGCTCTTCATGGATGCCACCCCCAGCCCCCACCCCAACCTGCACCCTCTTAGACATGGCCATGTGGGTACATTCACTCTGACCTCCACACCCTGTGTTCAGGAAATGAACAACTTCTCAAGGACTGCTGTCCCACAAATAGGATAAAATACAGAGCATGTGCTATGCTTCAGTGTGAAAGAGAAAAAACTTTTTCTTTTTATTGTGTGTGCTAGTGTTAGAAAAATGAAGTCAAAGTCAATGGTTTTAAAATACGATTTAAGAATTGAGAATTTGTCCTAAACAAAGAAGGCATCCTATGTGCTTTATCTTGCTCTCGGGGTTTTCACCAGTGGCTTCCAACATTCTTTGGTTGATTCCTAATAAGGACAGTTTACACAGTTACAATCCAATTACCGTTTGTAGATCCCTGTGGAAAAGGGGATTTTTTTTTAAAGGAATCCTTTTCTAACTCCAGTATATTTCTTCAAAATCGTCTTATAAAAATAAGAAGCAGGAAACACAGTTTCAATTTCTCTTCATTCTTTTTGTCCCTTCCCTCCCCTCTTTCCTTCTCCCCAACACTCTCTCTTTCTCTCTCTCGCTCTCTCTCTCTCTCTCTCTCTCTCTCTCTCACACACACACACACACACACACACACACACACTCTCATTTGTGCACTTACTCAGGGACACAGCCTGCCTCGGTTCTGAAAAGACAGGAACTTCTCAATGATCTGATGAAAAGATTGCATATTTTTGGTCCCAAGATTCACAGTAGCGGAGGTCTCTGGCAACAAAAGGTATCGTGGGAGTCACAGCTATGCCAGCTGGGCCATTTCTCAGACACTCGATATGATCTGCCATTTCAGGATGCATTTTTCACCAAAAAAATAATTTTTTTAAAAAACAGACTCAACTTCTTACTCCAAGCTTAGTTCAGTTAGATTAGAGAGGACAGCAGAGGCGCAGCTGATTACAATTTATGGGTAAGCAATATAAATATCTATACTTATTCTTTTTCAGAAGACAATTGTGATTAAAATTTTGTGATTCTTTCACATCCATCTTGTGATTTAGGAGAAAACTAGATTATCAGTGTCTGAGATGCGTGACAGCTAAAAACTATTTGTGTCAATACAGATTTATGAGAACCTTATTTTTAGATTAATGATGTTGCAGCGGCTTGAAATGAGCAAGCTCAAGCAGAAAGGACTGTGTTATGATTAACGGAACAGCATAATTGGGCTGACTTCTGTAAAAGATTCGGGCACAGGCTGTTTTGAAGTCTGAAAGGGTAAAGTGGTTTATCTTTCCCTCTTAACTTCTTGAATATGGGTGGAACATTTTCGTTGCTGTGGCTGTGATAAGTATGGGTTTTGGGGAACAGTCGGGATATTAGATAAGGCTAATAATAAATTTGATTTGCATGTGCTGTTGTTTACAAAAGAGGAAAACTTTAAGCCTCTAAATTTTAAAACACTGTCTGGCTTTCATTATTATAATGGTATGTCTCATAATGAAGGGGCTTGGTGGTGGAAAGAGGGGAACATGAACCTAATGTTCCAGATCTCATTATGCCACTGCAGCCGCTTTGCTCATTTGTGAAGTTAGAGGTTTGGATTGGTTTATCATGAAATGTTATGAAATAGATACAGTCATTATGAGTCTAAATTCCAGAACCTAAAGCCTGGCTTCAAATCCCAACTCTGCCACTTAATTGGTTTGTGCTCTTGTCAAGTTACTTAAGTTCTGTGCCTCAGTTTCTTCCTCTGAAATATGGGAATAATGATGGTAACATAGTCCTTAGGTTGTTGTAAGAATTAAATGAGATAATATAAATAAAGGGCTTAGAACAGTAACTAGCAGAGAGTGGACCATCTATAAATGTGAGCAGTATCTTCAAAGTTTAATCTATCTCTGGAGGTCTGTTCTAATTTCAGTGAACTAAATTTAATGAGAGAAAGACAAGTAGAACCATCAGCTGCTGGCCCTGTCATTGAGAAGTTTCTAATTCATCCCAGTATTTCCATTTTCTGCAACCCTGAGATCTGTGCAGGCTGTTTTACCTTCTTCCCATCTAAGACTCAAGAGAAGCTTAGAACTAAGAATTAAATTGATGGCCATTAGAAAAGTCCACAATTCTACTGGGGCTACACAGAAATAAAATTGACCTTTTGCTCTGACGTTTTTGCCCTTGAGGACTTCCAGTATGTCCCCTCTATGCTAACCATTAGAAAGGTTCTTTCCACTGGAAACAAGATACAAGTGACATTTGTTTTTTTAGATGGTGTTAGCCCAGCACTGGGTTTGACAATGTTCATTTCTACTTTTTTAGTTTATCAGTAACCCAAGTGAACAGGCCATTGGGAGGTAACCACTTCTATTTCACCCTAGTATTTGCCTATTTTCTAATATCCTAAATTATTTTAATGTTGTGTGATTTTTTTTTACAGGCTCTCTGGGATGTTTCTCAGAGACAAAATATTGGGAGAGGAGGAAAATGGTGATGGCAAAAGGCAGATCTAATCATAGATGTGCCTTTACTTTTAGTCTAGTCAAGGGGTCAGTAAACTTTTTCCATAACGGGCCAGATGGTTAATGGCCCTTTATGGAAGGGCAGCTTCATGGACTGGGCAGCCTCTGTTGCAACAACTCAACTCTGCAATTGTAGCTTATAGGCTGCCATGGACAATAGCAATGAATGAGTGTGGCAGTTATTTTCATAAACCAATAAAATTTGATTTATAAAAACAATCAGTGGGCAGGACTTGGCTTCCCAACTAATCAGCTTGTATCAGCAAAATCCCTATCATCATCCCCATTTCACAGATGAGGAAAGTGAGGCATGGGGAGTGTAAGTAGCTTGCTAGAAAGCCACCTGCCTGGCTAGTAATTGGCAAAACTGGGACTCAAACTCAGGCAGCCCAGCTTGCTAGCCCTTGCTTTTAGCCACTATGCCACTATGCCATGCTGTACCTATGTCAACCAGTCTCTGCCTGGGCTGCTGGGCTCCCGAAACCTGCCTGGCTCATTCCGTCACCTCCTTAAATGTTGGTGCAAATATGTTCTCCGTAAGGCTTTCCTGGTAGTTCACCCAGCACTCCCATTCCCCTCACCCTGCACTACCCCCTTCTCTAGCTCTTATCACCTTGTAAAACTTCTTTGTATTTCAGCACACATTTCTTATGAATTTTTGGTGTCTCTAAAACTTCCAAGTTAAGATGCTGTGTTAAGTCCTTCTTGTATCACCATAAAAATATCTGAGACTGAGTAATTTATAAAGAAAGGAAAATAGGTTTAATTGGTTCAGAGTTCTGCAGACTGAATAGGAAACATGGTGGTGGCATCTGCTCAGCTTCTGGTAATGGCCTCAGGGAACTTTTACTCAGGATGGAAGGCAACAGGGAGCTAGCCTGTCACATCGTAAGAGCAGAAGCAAGAGAGAGAGGGAAGAAGTGTCACACTCTTTTAAACAACCAGATCTCACATGAACTCAGAACAAGAATTCACTATTGCAAGGACAGCACCAAGACATTCATGAGGGATCAACCCCCATGACCCAAGCACCTCCCACCAGGCCCCACCTCCAACATTAGTGATTGTATTTCAACATGAGATTTGGAGGGGACAAACATCCAAACCATATCAGATGTGGATGCAGATTTAGAGTGGTGATGATTAATGTTAATTATAACTTAAATTCCATTTATTCAAGTCTTGTGGGAGCTTATAAGCCCTCCACAAGAAATTCATTTGTATTGTCTGATATTATTTCTACAAACTAAGAGTTAAGTCTTGTTCTTTTCTCCATCTTATTAAGGAGGAAACCAAGGTTCAGAGATGTTCTGAATCTTACCAAAGACTTCCCATCTATTTGAATCTCAACCTTTATTATGCAAAAAGTAAAACTCATTTGGGGATGCTGCTTTATAATGGAGGTGCTTGGGTCCTATTACTTGTGACTCTAATTCTCTAAATCTACCTTAAAGCTGAAGGAACCTACATATTTAGCAATGATCATCTACCCAGGTGATTCCGATGCCTTGCATCCACAAACCATATTTTGAGCAGCCCTGCATCACCCCTTGTTTGGCCCTGGGGAGTTTACAGTTGAAAGAGATTAACGAGATGCTGCAATTAGACACTAACTGCAAGAACGTAAGAAAACAATGTGGTATAGAACCAAACCAAAATTATTTCAATCAATTTTATTTCATGGGAAAATCAAGTCTGTTTGTAAAGATGCAACTTAGCTCAAAAGAATGACTTTCTGAATAAAGCGTAGGTATTAGATTGTTTGGGTTTTAGTTCGTATTTTGCTTCTTTCTTTTCTAAACATAGAGACATATACTTCTGCTAGGAAGGAAATCTATTTAGTTAACACTTTGGTGAGTTGTTCTCCAGTTAGTCAAGATTCTTTTGTTTTCAAACATTTTTGTTTGCTGCTTTTAATTAGGTTTGTTGTGTTTGTGCTTCTTAATACTAGTTTAAAATAAGTTCTGTAATTCTGTTTTTGTGTACAATATGTAGAAAAATACATGTAAAATACACATAGTAATACATGATATATATATGAATATATATTGCATATTTTTATGATAAAATATATAACTGATTGTTAATATTTTCCAGCACCATCATTTTAAGGAGATTCTATATGATTTGGGCTTAACAGAAGACTTATTTATGCTAAACCAAGGTTTCTCAACCTCTGCACTATAGACATTTTGATCCAGATAGCTTTTGATTTGGACTAGTAGTCCTGTGAATTATAAGGTGTTTAGCAGCATCCCTAGCCTCTATCTTCTAGATGCCAGTATCAAATGCTGCCCCAGTTGTAGCAACCAAAAGTGTCTCCAGACATTGCTAAATGCTCACTGGGGGCAACATTACCCTGCCAAGGACCACTATCCTATATCGTTTTTATCATATTGCTACCCTTTATTAATGCTGTCGCATTGTACCCTAGACCTTTACAACTGCCAAAGTCTTTATCTAGAGACATTGGGTGGGTTTCAATTTCATCTACATTTATAAAATCAAAACAAATTTGAAATCATCCATTTTTAATCCTTAAAAAAAATCCCATTATGACTACTCAAAAGACTAGATTTAGAAAGCCTTCAAATGAGTCATCCATTTATAAGATAAACAGTCACCAAAGAAAAATGCTGGCCTGGACCATGCATCTGAGAGTTGAGGAACCACCAGAAACATATTCTAGACTGTGCTGGTAGGCTCTGGTGCCCTTCCTGGATGCTTGTTTACCAGTTTATGCTCTACGCCATGAGAGTCACAGGGAGACTATGACCTTTGTGTTCATGTCTTACTGCTCCTATGAGGTCTGATGGGTGGGTATAGGTATCAAGGATTCACTCTTCCCTGCATCACTTATTATCACTTTTATTTTTCCCCTCATGTACTGGCATGTTTTGTTTTGTTTTGTTTTTTTTGGCTTATCAATAGGCTGTTTTAAAAGACTGTCTCTTAATGGTTTATTCAAATCCAGAATACAGTTTCCAGCATATATACAACATTGTATGGGTTGGTTAGGTTTCCAATTTATTTAACTCATGATATGCCTGATTCATTAGTCCCTAGATTGACAAATATTCAGTGGCTGTTAAGTGCCAGGTACTGCCTTAGATACTGAGAATACCAAAGTGAATAAGCCAGACAAGGCTTATTCAGGATTTCCTCCTGAATCTGGCTGACATATGTGGCTGATAATGCAAGGCCCTAGGACTGGGTTGCTGGAACATGGCAGTAGATGCTACATAAATACGTGTATGACCCTAATGTCTATATCAGAGGTTGACAAACTACAGCCAGTGGGTCAAATGCAGCCTGATGCCATTTTTGTATGACCTGCAAGCTAAGAATTGTCTTTACATTTCTAAGTAGTTGAAAAAATTTTGACGGAAGGATATTTTGTACACATAAAATTATATGAACCTTGAAATTTTGTGTCTGTAGATAAAATTTTTGGAACTTTTGTTTATGTAGAGTCTATGGCTGGTTTTGCCCTGCAATGGCAAAAGTTGAGTAATTGTGGAAGAGAACCTAAGACTCACAAAGCCTAAGGTATTTACTATATTTATTTTCTATAATTCTATTATATGAGAAAAGTGCTTTCAGAATTCCAGTCTTGGAACCTCTACAGAGCAAATCATTGGTGGTGGTACCTGTAATATGAAGCAGCACCTTAGCATCAGGTAGTAGGGAGATAAGAATGTGATAGAAGGTCAAAACCTACTTTTAAGTGTCTGGGAGCATGCCCTTCGCCCCATCAACCTTCTTTTCTAATACTCCTTTCTACTCTTGGATCCATTTCCTATTGCTGCCATAACAAATTGTCACAAACTTACAACAGCACAAACTTAATGTTTTATAGTTCTGGAGGTCATAAATCTGATGTGGGCCTCACTGGGCTAAAATAAAAACCATGTTCCTTCTGGAGACTCCAGGAGAGAATCCCCTTGGCTTTTTATGCTACTAGAAACTGTGTGCATTTCTTGGCTTGTGATTCCTTTTTCCATCTTTAAAGCTAGCAGCTGAGCTCTTTAAAATCTTTCTCTCTCTCACCTCTGCTTCCATGATCACATTTTTGTCTCTGGATCTGCCTCTGCCTCTTTCTCTCCTTGTGATAAGATTAGGCCCACCTGGATAATTCAGGATAATCTTCCCATCTCAATAATCTGAAATTAATAGCATCTGCAAAGTCCCTTTTACCATGTAAAATAACATACTTACAGGTTCTTGGGATTCAGGTGTGGACATCTTTAGGGGAGACATTATTCTGCAACCACACCTTCCACCTGATAACTCTGTACTGTATTTCTCTCTACTGCCACAGAACAAAATGCAGGCTGAGGGGCAACTCACGAGCTTGCAACAAGCAGCCAAGATATTGTAGTGGCTAAGAGTGGCTTCTGAAAATGTAAGGTTCAAGTCAATTTTTTTTGTTGAATGAAAGCACAAGGATTATGGCATCATTACATTTGTTTAAAAAGAAAATAGGATCATGATTACTCTCAGTTTCAAAAAGTAAAATCCTTACTATTATGACTATCATAGAAATAGCTTTTTTTCCCTTGGTAGATTTGCATATTTCTTTGGCAATGGAGGGCTTCTTGGATTTTCTAGACTTACTACAGAGCACTTATTATAGCCTAATTGAACAATGGGGATGTACACTCAAACGGAACTAGAATCTGTTCAAGCCTTGAGCTCAGTGGTTCTCAACCCTGGCTGCATGGAAGAATCATCAGAGAACTTCATAAAAAATGGACAAAGAAAATGTGGTACATATACACAATGGAGTACTATTCAGCCATAAAAAAGAATAAGATCCTGTCATTTGTAACAACATGGATGGAACTAGAGATCATTATGCTAACTGAAGTAAGCCAGGCACAGAAAGACAAACATCGCATGTTCTCACTTATTTGTGGGATCTAAACATCAAAACAATTGAATTCATGGATAGAGAGTAGAAGGTTGGTTACCACAGGCTGGGAAGGGCAGTGTAGGGGGTCAGGGGGAGGTGGGGATAGTTAATAGCTACAAAAAATCATCAGAAATAACGAATAAGACCCACTATTTGATAGCACAACAGGGTGACTATAGTCAACAATAACTTAATTGTACACTTTTAAAATAAAGAGTGTAATTGAAAGGTTTGTAATTCAAAGGATAAATTCTTGAGGAGATGGATACCCCATTCTCCATGATATGATAATTATGCATCGCATACCTGTATCAAAACATATCATGTACCCCATAAATGTATATACCTACTATGAACCCACCAAAATTTAAAAAGTAAAAATAAGGAAACAAACAAAAAATACAGATATTGTCTTTGTCAACTGGGTTTGCCATATCAAAATAAATAACCCCAGATCTCTCTTTTGGTTAACAATTCCAAATATACCAAAGAAGTTTAAAAATCCAAGAGGTTAAGAACCATGGGATTCCATATATAATGGACTAAAACGAAAACATCACACTTCACTTTTTATTATGCTAGGGGTAGTCATTTGTAAACAGCTTGAAAAAACATGTATTAGTTGATTGTATTGGAACTGTTTTGTTTTTTTTTTTTAATTATACTTTAGGTTCTGGGGTACATGTGCAGATCATGCAGGATTGTTGCATAGGTACATACATGGCAATGTGGTTTGATGCCTCCATACCCCCATCACCTGTAGCTGGCATTTCTCCCCATGTTATCCTCCCCAACCTCCCCCTCTCGCTGTCCCTCCTCTAGCCACCCCCCAACAGACCCCACTGTATGATGTTCCCCTCCCTGTGTCCATGTGTTCTGATTGTTCAATACCTGCCTATGAGTGAGAACATGTGGTAATTGAGAGAAGAAAATCAAGGCTCAAGAAAAATATAAATTGGCCATGTTCTGTTTTGCCAGACTTAAGAATGTTTTAAATCTATTTAAAAAAAAAAAGAAAAAACTAAATACCATTTTCACCATGTCCAAAACTGGGTGATCTTCCTTCTCCCCCTGCAAACCTAATTCCCTCTGCCATTCCTCATCTTGGTGATTAGTGTTACTATTTGCCCAGTTGCTGAAGCTAGAAACCCAAAAGTCATTGCAGATTACTCTTTCTCTTCCCCTCACTGCATCCAGTTTGTTCTCCAGCATCTATGTGGTTCTAAGTGTCTTCCCTGTTTGTTCAAATTGGAATCAGCATCCTACTTAGCACAGTCTTTTCTCATCTCTGCATCTTTGACTTGCTCTCCCCTTTAATTCCTTAAGAAGCTTGTTTCTAGTTGTCTTTCCCATATTTCAAATTTGCTTATGCTCCTCTCTTACTCAAAGTTCCTGAATGACTAGCCATCACCTATGAAGGAAAATCTCATCCAGTTTGCATTGCCAACAGAGACAGCCCTACAGAATCTGGCCCTGACTTCTGCTTGGCTTCACCTCTTTCTATTTTCCTCCTTCCAACCCTGTGATTCCCTCAAACAAGCCTGTTTTCTCAAACTCATTTGCCTTGGCGCCTGCTGCTAAAGTTCTATTTGCTACTTCATGAACCCTGCCCCCTCTTACTCAACGTTCAAGCCTCCAATGAAACCCTAACTTCTCTATAAAGCTTTCCTTGAACCTCCAAATAGATAACAAAAGACTTGTTTCCTAGGCATTCGTTGCATTTAGTACTTACTTCTAGTATCACAATTTCTGTGCTTTATGGATTGCTTTTATTCTTCCTACCTGAAAGTTAACTCTGAGGACAAGGACTGTATTGTCACCTTAATAGTCCCAATCCTATCACAGAGCTTAGCATCTCATCTGTGCTTATTAAATATTGTTTGAATTAATTAACCAGAAAGACTTAGTAAATAAGAATAAAATGTCCCTTCTAGGAATTCATTTATTTCAGTCATAAGCTGTAGTTCACAGGTTGGGAAACTCTATCCCACCAGCCAAAACCAGCCTGCTGTTTTCTTAAATAAAATTTTATTGGAATATGGCCACACTCACTGATTTATAAATTATCTATGGCTGCTTTCATGCCACAAAGGCAGAGTTGAGTGGTTGTAACAGAGACCACATGGCTCACAAAGCCTGATATACTTTCTATGATATCAGCTGACATGAAAATCGTCCCACTTTAACACACACACACACATACACCACAGTTTCTTTATCCACTCATGGATTGACGGGCATTTGGGTTGGTTCCACATTTTTTGCAATTGTGAATCATGCTGCTATAAACATGTGTGCAAGTATCTTTTCTGTATAATGACTGATTTTCCTCTGGGTAGCTCTCAATAGTGAGATTGTTGGATCAAATGGTAGTTCTACTACACTGTTTTTCATAGCAGCGGTACTAGTTTACACTCCCACCAGCAGTATAGAAGTATTCCCTGTTCACTGCATCCACACCAACATCTATTATTTTTTTATTTTTTGATTATGGCCATTCTTGCAGGAGTAAGGTGGTATGCATTGTGGTTTTGATTTGCATTTCCCTGAAATTAGTGATGTTGAGCATTTTTTCATATGTTTGTTGGCCATTTGTATATCTTCTTTTGAGAATTGTCTATTTGTGTCCTTAGCCCACTTTTTGATGGGATCGTTTGTTGTTGTTTCTTGCTAACTAGTTTGAATTTGTTGTAGATTCTAGAAAGAAATAGAAAATCTGCATAGAAATACATATGGTTATTAGAAACACATATCTAATTATTAGAAATACATCTCTAATAACCATATGTATAGAAGCATCACCATGTGCCCCATGAATATGTACCATTATTATTTGCCAATTTTAAAAAATGCCCTTGCTGCAGCCACTGGCATACAGTAGGCTCTCGATACACATTCATCCCCCTGTATCTGATGTACATGATGGCAATTAGCAGCAGCGCAGTTTTTACTGTTACTGAGATACAAAACTTAAAAGTTCCCATGTGTTCCCATAAAAAGTAGGAAATAGGATCCTCACAGTATCTTTCTACATAGTTTCCTTAGGCCTATATGCATAATGAGATGAGGTTGTATAACCCAGCAGATACTGGAGATTTTGACTTTTGCAACTGACTGAGAAGATCCACAGTGAACTAAAAGAGGATTTGACTTTGGGAATTGAGACCCAATTTTGGAACACAAAGGTGGTTTGCCTGACTTTATTACTAAGAGAAGATGAGATTTGTGAGAGGTAGGTGAACTCTGTAACAGTTTATTTTTTTTTCCTTTGGCCTACAGGGTGATTTCACCTGGAACAGCATGTCAGGCCGCAGTGTACGGTTGAGGTCAGTCCCCATCCAGAGTCTCTCAGAGCTGGAGAGGGCCCGGCTACAGGAAGTGGCTTTTTATCAGTTGCAACAGGACTGTGACTTGAGCTGTCAGATCACCATTCCCAAAGGTAAGGCTTCCTCTGCTTTTCTGCTGGGGAACACTGCAGGTCAAATATAGGCTCTGCCAAAGCCATGAGCTGTGAACGCTTCTCATACCTAATATTCACACAGGAAGGAAACTACAGCTTCTTGGTTGTTGGCTGACATTAGTGTACATGTTTGAAGGACATGTTAAAGTGGGACGATTTTCATGTCAGCTGATATGTTTATTTAAACGGAAGGTCAACTTGGGTCATTACAAAGGAAAGCTGTGTGTATATAAACAGTCTATATGAATTCAGAACAACTAATTAAAAAGAATTTTCAGAAAGGTCATCTTAAAGGGTCAAAAGAAAAGCTGTGTCTATCTAAGTTTTGTTTCAAAATAAGCCATTTGAAAAGAATGCCTTAACACTCTGTTAAACTTGTCATTTGACCCTATGCCAACTCAGAATCAGGGATTTTACCAAAGTTAACTCCTTTTTATCCACTTTTTCAGCTGGTGCGCTCTATGTTGCACTGGAGCCAGTGCACACCTGATTGGCTATTTGTTTTGTAAACAGATCCTGATTCCAGTCAAGATGAGATACATGTACTTGAATTTCTTGAATCCATAAAACGTTGTCTCTATATGTTTACTATGTCTATAAAGGCACTTTATAATTTGTATTGATATGTAGCAGACAGCTACTTTGAGGCAGAATGAAAAACTATGATATACAAATCGAGTAATATGCCATGAAAAGCAACATTGGCCAGTGGGCCTGAAACTTAAAGGAAAGCAGAAGACAGATAGGAAGCTTCTAGAAGCTAGAATATTGCCTTGGAGGATTTTGCTATCTGCAGAACTTCTCTTCTACTTTTTGTTTCCTTCTGGAGGAGGTTGAGGGGATGCTTCATGAATATTTGTTCATAAATAGTTCATATATATATATACACACAACATATGTGCATATATACATATACACATATACACCCAAATATGTGGTTCTCAAGCAGGGTTGATTTTGTTCCCCAGCCCCTAGGGACATCTGGAAATGTCTGGATATACTTTTGGTTATTGCAGCTCAGAGGATGGATGCTTCTAGAATCTAGTGGGTAGAGGCTGAGAATGCTGCCCAACACCCTATAATAAACAGGACATCCCCCTGCAACAAAAATTATCAGGCCCCAAGTGCTAAAGTTGGCTTACCTTGCTTTACACACATATATTCACATTCTGGCACCCACACTGGCAGTAGTGGAGTTCTCTTGGTTCAGCTGTGGCTAACAGAAAGAATGCTGGCTTGGAGGTCTAAAGACTAGGATTTGTGAACTCATCCTGTCACTCATCACACGTGTGAGCTTCAGCAACTCGCCTTTGCAGTAGGAGGTTCAGTTATTTGACCAGAAAGAGTAACACAAAAACACTGACCAGAGTTTTTCTTGGGATGGTGAGTCTTAGGGCCATGTTTTGCCTTGAAGCAGGAACCTGAGACTCCACTGGAGATCATGACAGAGTTCAGACAGGCAAGGTAGGCAAGGCCAAGGGGCTGACAAGACACGCATATTTCATTGGCATATGCCTTGCACCTTTGGCTTTCTTGTCACACTTTGTTCACTACCACAATCACAGCATGCTCTTTCTAAAAGGAAATCCTCACCCCTGTTTTATTTTTTCATGCTAATCTCACACATAGAAGCCCTCAGCTCAAGTAAGAAGAAAATCACTTGGGCACTTGTGAAAAATAAATACTAGTGACCGTCAGGCCATGTCACTCTTTTCCTTGAAAAAGGCTCTCCTGCCTTACCTGATATTGATTTGGTTGTAGGGTGAAGATGAGGCCTGTTCTCCCTCCCACTTAACTCACAAAGTGGCCCATGTGGGGCCAGGCCCAAGAGTTTTTGTCTCCCTTTAATGAGCAGAGACATTCTTTTCGTTCCTAAGGAAAAAAAAGGAAATATTGTTAGCAAGCTCAATTTGTAGTGAAGAGAAATGATAACTTTGAAAAGTTTTTGAAACTTGGATTGAATGCACATCAGATAAGATATCAGGGAACAGATACTCTCTGTGACTTTGTTTTAAAATCCAGTTGATTTGATTTTTCTCTTTGTTCCTGCTTTTGAAAGAGTCCACTAAATAACTTTTACCAAAAACAATTTTATAAAACTTGTCTACTAGAGGCTCTGTCTGCATTGATTATTTCTGAGGCTGTGTGGTTATCAGCACATCCAGGGAAAGATTTGTGCTGTCGAAATGTTCGAAGATATTCCTAGGCCACAGCAGTTATTTTTTTATTTTCTATCAAAATAGGAACTAATGATTTATAAAAAAAAAAAAAAAAACAATTTCTCCCTTATAGAGGAGAGAGGGAATTGTATGGCTGGTGAAAGAAACAGATACCACTTGAGGGTTTCTGAAGCTATTGAATTGGGCATATGAATATAGACATCAAATATTTACTGAGATCCTTGGAATGTGGCAAGCTCTATGACAGTAGCTTTGGTCTAAGTGTGGCCACTTGGTCCCCTTGCAAACCTTCAAATGGGGGTTCTAAACAGGGTCAGACTCACTGTGTGAATAATTTTCACAGGAAAATAAATACTGTAGCCAGGACCTAAAGCCTAAAGAAATGATATCAAGCCTAATAGGATATAATGAAAATCATGTATACAATGAAAATGGGCACATAGTCGAGCTCACATTTCTGTTCTCTGTCACATTAGGATGATCATAGGGATTTATTTGGGGTTATCTATTTGCAGAACCCTCTCCTGTGAGACTGGTGCTTCCAGGGTTCAAATGAATGCTATTTTAACATCAGCTGCCAGAATTTACCATAGAGAGGAAAGAATTGAGGATGGGAGAGTTTGAAATTACTGGATGATTTCCTAAAATGGACCACAGAGGTGGAACCCAGAGTACAAGTGGAGTGTTTGACCTTCTTTTATGCTATAATAATAGATGGACATTAGTTTTATGGGCACTGATGCAAGTGAGTTAGAAAATGGTGGGAAAGCATGTGGGATTTTACTCCAGATTACTTCTCAGCATCCAGCAAAATAGGAAGCAATTTAATCCATTAGGAGTGAGGATGGAGAGGAGGTCCTGGAAGTTTGAGGAAAGAGGAGAGTGGAAGAGAGAGCAGCTAACGGACCAGCAATATCACAGGATTGCAGGACAGGCCAAAAGGTCTGTTTGAGGTTAGTAGCTGGGAATTTTAAATAAAAAATAAACATCCTGGTAACTAAACACTGTTAAGCTAAATACAGCACTTCAAACTTTTAATTTCCCAGCCTTATTTAATCCAAATCTCCTCTTTCGAGCTAGTATTTTCTAGTTGAATTCAATGAAGTTGAAGAGGGACATGGCAGTTGAGAGTATATCTGTAGTAGGCAGAATAATGGACCCCCCCACACACACACCAAAGATGGCCATGTCTTCATCCCTGGAACCTGTGAATATGATACCTCACAGGCCAAAAGGAACTTTGCAAATGTGATGAGTTAAGGTCCTTGAGATAGGGAGATTATCCTGGATTGTCTGGCTGGACTCAAACTAATCACATGGGTACTTAAAAGTGCTGAAACTCTCCCAGCTGTAATCAGGGAGAGATGGGACTATGGAAGTATGGTCAGAGAGATGCAATGTTGCTGGTTTCAAAGACACAGGAAGGGGCCATAAGCCAGGGAATGCAGATGGCCTCTAGAAGCTAGAAAAGTCAAAGAGACAAATTCTTCCCCTGGGCCTCCAGAAAGGAGCAAAGCTCTGCTGACACCTCAGTTTTAGCCCAGCGAGACCCATTTCAGACTTCTGGCCTCCAGAACTGTGAGATGATAAATTTGAGTTGTTTAAGACACTAAGTCTCTGATCATTAGTTACAACAGCACTAGGAAACTAATAAAGTTATCCAAGGGAATGATTATAATCCCACAACACAGAGTCTAAACTGGATGAGAAAGGAAATTAGGAAGAAATATAAAAGATAAGAATAAATAATATGAAGATGTCAATTATGTCATTAATTATCTATAAGCTGAATGTGATTCCAAAATAAGATACCAACAGAATTTTTCTTTTTGGTAATTTTACTAAATTAATCTAAACATCATCTGGGAAAATAAGTGAAGGTCGTCAGGGGAAATATGATAAAGAGGTAAAATGGAGATTAACACTGTTTACTAAAATGTGTCACAAAACTATAGAATTAAAAATGAACCAAAATATATATGAAAATTTATTAAATGTAAATATGGTACTTCTTGTAATGGGAAAAAGATGTGTTATTTTTGTATTTGAGACAATGAGACAATCATTGGTAAGGAAATAATAAATTGATATGGAAAAAAAGATTCAAGGATAAAATGAAACTATAAATGATGTACCAGAAGAAATCATAGTTGGATATATATTTTTGTACACTAGGGAAGGCCTACCCAGAAAACATAAACAAGAAGAGAGGGACAAATTTCACTACATTTTTAAAAATAGAATTATCTGTGACAGATACGCAAATAAATAAAACTTTATAGCACATTTGACAAACTAAAGGCTAACTTCTCAACTACATAAAACTTTATTACAAATTAATATAAAAAATGTAAAATATAGACAAATTACAGGTGGCTCACAGAAATATACAAGTGGTATAAATAGATTTGAAAAGATGCTCACCCTCACATTCATTAAAGAAATGCAAGCTAAACACCAAGGAGATTATTTTTCTCTCAGATTGTTATGGTTCCAAAAGTTGGATGATATACTTTATGGGGAAGCAAGCACTCTCATACACTGTTGGTAGAGGTATAAATTGTTGCAACAAGGTGCAAGGCAATTTGGCAACATTTATCTAAATTGTATGTATGTATGTATGTATGTATGTATTTTTTCCATGGCTTTTTGAAGAACAGGTGGTATTTGGTTACACAAATTAGTTCTTTAGTCGTGATTTGTGAGATTTTGGTGCATCCATCATCCAAGCAGTATACATTGAACACAATTTGTAGTCTTTTATCCCTCACCCCTTCCCTCCCTTTCCCTGAGTCCCCG